GTGGGGTCCACTTTATATCTTCTTTGTTTGACATTTTTTGTTTGGTATTATTTTTCGAGTTGTAGTATCGACCTAGTGTGAACAGTGACTTTAATGTCTTCTATATGGTATTAAGCAATACCACCTACCAAGTGGTATTATCTTCCCGGTACAAGTGAAAGGACGGTATAAGAGAATAAAATGACACAAATGCCTTCCTATGTGAAGAGTTCACATATAAAAAAATTATTTTGAATTTTTCTTTGTATTATATTTAAGCGTACGATGTCACCAGTTTTTTTTAAATTTTTTTTTAAAAAAATTATTTTGAAGCTTACGGTGTCACCGATTTTTCTTTTTTTTTTTTTTTTTTTAAAAATTTTTCTTTGTATTATGTTTAAGTGTACGATATTACCTTTTTTAAAAAAAATTATTTTGAATTTTTTTCTTGTATTATGTTTAACGTAAGGTGTTACCGATTTTTTTTTTAAAAATTATTTTAAATTTTTTCCTTATATTATGTTTAAACGTACGATGTTACCGATTTTTTTTTAAATTATTTTAAATTTTTCCTTGTATAGATGGTTAAGGGTAAAATAGAATGGAAGATGTTAAGGATAAAATGATATATTTGTTATATAAGATATGATAGAATAGATGGTTGTTTGTGGGACTCACTATAATACCATTGAACAAATAAACAAGGGAAAGGATGTGATACAAGTTTAAGACCAAATATAGTATACCATTGGATAGGAGTGGAATGTAAATAATTTCTAATACCACCCAAATTTAATATTGAAAACAAACATGCCCTAAGACTAGTAAATTTGGAAACTCTGACTTGAAGATTTTCTTTGTCTTCACTAGTGCTATTTTTTATTAGTGCATTGTCACTACATTTGTTTTTCAAAAATTGATGGCCAGTTGCTAGAAATTTCATTGCTTTCATGAGAAAGGGTAAAATTGTTATTATTATCATGAATGGAACCGTTGTTTTGATGTTATTACATTCTCAACCAAGTAATTGAGTTAATCAATTCTTTTATTTGAACCATTTTTTTTGTCTAATGTGTTGAGATCAATTGGATAGTTTGTTGCAGAGTTGAATTTGTTCATTGTGTAGGAACACAAGTATGGATAGGAGTTGGATGCAGCAAAAGAATAGATTGCACCATATTTTCCAATTGGGAGTGAAAGAATTCCTCCAATTTGCATATGCTCGTAAAGAACCACATAGTAAGATCTCATGTCCTTGTATGAAGTGTAACAACTTCTATGACCACACTCGAGAAGTTGTTGAAAGACATTTATTGATGCATGGGATAGTTAATAGTTATGCTAGGTGGATATATCACGGGGAAGATTTTGAAAACAATTTTGCTAATGATAAGGGTGTTGAGGAGAACTACGAGCAAGGTAATGAAATTGATGATATGCATGGTATGATAGATGATATTGCCACTGGTCATTTTGGGGACAATTGGGGGGTTAGAGAAGAATCTATTCAACAGGGTGTTCATGTGGATGGAGGAGAAGTAGATATATTTCTTAAATTATTGAATGATGCAGAGCAAGAACTTTATCCAGGATGTAAGAAGTTTTCTAAGCTGTCTTTTCTTTTGAAGCTGCTTCATTTAAAAATGATGTATCGCATGAGCAATAAGTGCTTTGACATGCTACTTGAAATATTGAAAGATGCCTTTCCAATTTGCGATACATTTCCTAAGTCTTATTATGAGTCAAAAAAGGTAATTCGTGACTTGGGTCTTGACTACGTGAAGATAGATGCTTGCGTTAATGATTGTGCAATCTTTTGGAAGGATTATAAGGATTTGGATAAGTGTCCAAAATATGGGAGCTGTAGATGGAAGTTTGAAGGATCTAAGAAGATACCTCAAAAGGTATTGTGTTACTTCCCATTAAAGCCAAGATTGCAGAGATTGTTTATAAATAAGAACATTGCTTGTGATATGAGGTGGCATAAAGACAAACGTATCAATGAGGATAATGTATTAAGACATCCTGCTGATTCCGATGCAAGGAAAGATTTTGATAAAAAGCATGAGTTGTTTGCCCAGGATCCTCGCAATGTTAGGCTTGGACTAGCAAGTGATGGCTTCAATCCTTTTGGCAACATGAGTAATGCTTACAACATATGGCCAGTATTTCTTGTACCATACAATTTGCCTCCTTGGAAATGTATGAAGGATCCTTTTCTCATGATGTCCATGATTATTCCAGGACCAAATTCTCCAGGAAATGACATTGACGTATTTCTGCAACCATTAATTGATGAGTTAACTGAATTATGGGAAGATGACTTTGAAACATATGATGGTTACACTAAAGAGAAATTTTGCTTGCGTGCAGCACTGCTATGGACTATCAATGATTTTCCCGCTTATGCTAACTTGTCCGGATGGAGCACCAAAGGGTATATGGCATGTCCAGTTTGCATCAGTGAGACTTCCTCCAAATATTTGCCAATTGGAAAGAAGTGTTGTTACATGGGACATCGTCGTTTCTTACCAACTAATCATAGATGGCGAAAGGAGACTAAATCATTTGATGGTGAGAAAGACTTTAGGGAACCAATTGAACCATTATCTGGGGATGACATATTGAAATATTTGGATGCTATTGATCAGGTTGTTTTCGGTAAGGCCCCTGAACTAATCCGAGAGAAGAAGAGGAAACGTCGAAAAAGTGATTTGAATTGGACAAAGAAGAGCATTTTTTTTGAATTGCCATATTGGAAAACCCTGAAACTACGACATAACTTGGATATCATGCACATAGAGAAAAATGTATGTGATAATGTGCTTGGCACATTAATGAATATTGATGGAAAGACTAAGGACAATTGGAAGGCTCGTAAGGATTTGATGGCAATGGGCCTAAGACCAGAATTACACCTTCGTTTTGAAGGAGATAAAGTTCTTATGTCGTCTGCATGTTACCAGTTGTCCCATGATGAGAAGAGAAAAATATGTGAATTCTTGACTTCAATTAAGTTTCCAGATAATTTTGCCGCAAACATTTCTCGATGTGTGAAAATAAAAGAGTGTCGTATTTCAGGATTGAAGAGTCACGACTGTCACATTTTCCTTCAACGGATACTCTCAGTGGCAATACGTGGATCCTTGGGTAAGGAAATATGTCAGTCATTAGTTGAGCTCGGTAGTTTTTTCAAACAGTTATGTTCTAGGACGTTGTACTTGGATGTGTTAGAGAAACTTGAAAGGCAGATTGCTTTGACACTATGCAAACTTGAACGCTTATTTCCCCCAACGTTCTTTGACATAATGATACACTTAATGGTTCACCTTGCTAAAGAAGCCAAGCTTGCTGGACCAGTCCAATACCGATGGATGTTTCCATTTGAAAGGTATTTAATAATTTATTTATCTGGTGATTACTTAAGCATCAATCATGTTTTTCTTTTTCAATTGTAGCTTTATTCTTTTGTTATATATATTGATAGGCAAATGGGAAAACTAAAGGGATATGTACTTAATAAGGCTCGGCCAGAAGGGTCGATTGCTGAGCGTTACATTGACAATGAATGCTTGAATTTTTGCTCTATGTACTTGGGTAATGTTGAGACGAGATTCAATCGAACTGAACGGAACTATGATGGAGGTGCAAAGTCGAGTGAGTTATCTGTATTTGCATATAATGGTCATGCATTTGGTGGGACCATATATGCCGAGTTGAATAATATTGAGTGGGAAAAAGCTCAGAATTACGTGTTGAATAATTGTGAAGAGGTTCAAGATTTTATAGTGTAAGTTTAATTTTCTAATTACTTGTACTTAAAATTTTATTGTTTGCTCATTAGATTTGTGCCTTGGTATTAGATAATTGTGGGTTATAATGATATATACTTAATGTATAGAGAGCATAAGGAAATTCTAAAAGCTGAGAATACAAGGAATGTTAATCAAAGGCATGACTCGCAGTTTCCTAAATGGTTCGAACAACGTGTAAGTGCACTTTGAAATATACCTATTTTTCTTGCTATTATCAAAACAATGTGTATTTGATTATTTGGCTAGGGTTCTATTGACAATTTTCACTTTTATGTATAGGTTAAAAAATTGTACCATGAAGGGCGTGCTAGCAAAGAACTCTTGTCCCTTGCCAAGGGTCCTGATAATCGAGTGAAACGCTACACTGGTTGTAATGCAAATGGGTTTAGGTTCCACACTCAAGATCGTGAGAGAAAAAGAAAAACACAAAATAGTGGTGTGGTCGTGGAGGGAGAACATGATGGGAGGGTGATAAACTTCTATGGCGCGATCATTGAAGTTATTGAGTTAGAATATCTACTTGGGCAGAATCGAGTTATGTTATTCAAGTGTGATTGGTGGGATGTAAAGGACAGTACAGGTATCCAAATAGACAAGGATTGGAATATTACTAGTGTAAATGTATCACGAACTTGGTATAAGGACCAACCATTTGTGCTTGCCTCTCAAGCAAAACAAGTTTTTTATATTGAAGATTTGAAGTTAGGAAAAAATTGGCGCGTTGTAGAGAGAACTCAACCTCGCGGGTCTTTTGATGTTCCTGAACAATTTGAAGAACAATTGATTTCTGGTGAGGAGCCTTACCAAGAACATGTGCCTGATGAGGTTTTTGAATCAATGGAAATTGATGAAATGCCATCATTAGAAAGAGATGATATGATCCCATTAGGATGTACTGATGTAGATAATATATTTCATGAACAACCAATGGAAAATGTAGATGAAGAAGATAACAACTTCATTAATGACAGTGATATCGAGGAAGATTATTGTAGTGATGATATTCACAAAGATGATACATTTAGTAATGACGAATGTGAATCTGACTAAAGGTAAGGTTTCAGTGTAATTCACCTTATACTAGGGAAAGTTTATAATGTTGCAGTACTTGTAGTTCTTATATACACACATAGATGTGCATAACCATTTGTATTTACACAATTGATATTCATTTGTTGTATTATTTTGTTACTTCATTGCACACAGATGGCCGGATTGGGGAAACAAGGAGCTGCTAGGCGTGGTGGAGGACAACTATCAGTACTGCTTCCGGTTTCATTACCATCTGATAAACAGACACAGACTGGTGCTAATGGTGGTACATTGCCACTTGCACAAGAGTCTCATGGTTCCATGAGTGTAAATAATGTTCCTTTGCCAGAGGGACATGTCGAACATAATGTTGGTATGTTTGTTTAATGGAATTATGTTAAATATTGTTCAAAATATTGACTTATAGAAGCTGCATTTTTAATTTTTTTTATTGATTATTGAATTTTCTTTATGTTTTAATTTTATCAAAAAATTAGGTTCTTAACAAAATCATCTACCAACATTGTTCATACTTTATCTTCAGAGTCATCCTCAACGAGGAGGAAACGGGGACCAACCCGAAATATTGCGCTTGCCAAAAAAAAGCAAGCCGGCGAGAAGCTTAATGTCGAGATGCCTGAAGAGCTTGGGCGAATAGTAGGATTGGAATGCCAACCACTTATAACAGAGTTGGGATGCATTGTTCGGAAGCATGCACCTCTTCAAGTGACAAAATGGGCAAAGATTGACAAAGCCGATCGGGAGAGTTTACTCCAAATGGCCAAGGTAAGTGCTTTTCCAAGTACTTAAACATTTCAACTAGACTATGAAACAAAAGTTAATAAAAGGGGGTTTATGTTTTTTTTTTTTTGCATCCAATAAACAAACTTATTTTTTATTTTGTAATTCAATTGTTGTTACCTTTATTTCTCACAGAGCATTCATTGTTAACAATGTAAACAATTCGCTATTTTTTGTAGGAATCATTCAATCTCCATGATGGACAGGTTAAAGATATAACATTTGCCCAAATGAACACGCAATATAGGAATCATCGCCATAAGCTACACAAGAACTATTTCTTGCCACACCCAACAACAGAAGTAGCAATGCAACATCCACCACCAGGCGTGCCACAAGAAGATTGGAATTATCTTTGTTCTTACTTCTCCTCTGACGAATTTAAGGTTCTTAAACTTACTATAGATACTAAACAAAATCAATTTTCCCTTTATTTGTTTAAAAAATTTCTAATGGACGAAAGTTTGACTATTTTAATGTAGAAAAGGAGTGCTCAAAATGCAAGGAATCGGGCAATGCAAAACACACCCCATGTAACTGGGACAAAGTCTTTTGCCCGGATGGGTGTTGAAATGGTAGCAACATAAATCTTAGTTATAGAGTGTATCATATGCGTAGTGATATGCTTCAAAAACTAATTCACATATTTGAATTGATGTAGACTGCTCAAACTGGTGAAGTGCTTGGGCCAATTGAGTTATATAGGATAACTCATTATAGTAATAAGAAACATTCTTGGGTGAATGACCGTGCACATCATAACTATGTAAGTTATTAATTCGGTTAAAATTTTTGTTTATCATCATATTAATTGAACTAATGTAATTTAAAATTTATATGCCTTGCCACTTTAGGAGCAAATGGTGGAGCTTCAGTCGCACCCTGTAGGAGAGAATGAAGCACCAGTTTGTGAGGAGGAAATTTGCTCAGAGGTTCTTGGACACAAGTCAGGGTACATACGTGGCCGTGGGCATGGTCCAAAGCCTAATCGATCCTTATCTAAGCACCATGATAAATCAGAGTTGGAGGCAGCTAACAAAAGGGCCAATGAGTTGGAAGAAAAACTCAATGCTCAACAAAAAGACATGGAAGTGATTAAGGCTACCCAAAAGGCAACAAATGAGATTTTACAAGCACTGATGGAGCAAATGCAAGGGGCAACCCAAAATGCAACAAATGAGATTTTGCAAGCATTGATGAAGCAGATGCAGGATGAGAGGCACATGTCTGCCCATGCCATTGCCCCTGCGCTTGACCCTCTTTCATGGTAGGTGGAATACTTGATTAATGAAAGTTTAGTTTTGATTTTTTTTCCTTTTTTTGAAGGTGTCATAAACTTTATTTTATTGCATGATAGATGGAAGCAGTATGAAGCTCAACCAGGGCGATTGCAATTTAGGTAAGTGTTCTCATTTTTACTTTTGTAGGATAAATTTGAGGGTGTACAATAATTCCATTTGAAGTATTAGAACTTATGAACAGGTTCTTAATTTTTTATTCTACTTGCAATTATGAAATGGCTTGGGGCTTTATGGAAGAAATTGTGTAGTATTCTCGCTGATATTATGATGTTTTTATATATTAATTAGAGATTGATATTGTAATTGACTATACACTCGATGACAACATAGATCCATTAAATTAGTTTGCCATGGTTGTTAATATTTGATAATAAGGCAATAATATGACAGTTGAATTTTATGACTTAAAGTTTGAGTTAACTATTATTGATTAGATATTCAGTCCATTACCATATTTACAAGATTATCTTTTATTTATTTGATGCAATAATTTGAAGCAAAACATTTATGTTTGCTAAGCATGATGGTCTTTTTTCATAGGATTCATACTTTTTTGGTGATTTATTCTTTTTTCTTTTAATCATATAAGTATTGTTGTGCTTGTGGACAATGGGAAGTAATTGATGTAATGAGTCTCATGACATATAGTAGAAATTGTGTGTTCTTTAATGATGATCATCTATAGTCTTTGGTGTTAAACCTCCCTTAATAATGCTAAAAGTGTTACAATACATTTTGTAAGAGTGCAAACTGCAATACATTGTTATCAGAAATTAGAAGGACCATTTGGTTGATTACCACTTAGTCTAAACCTTTGATGATAAGTGTTGAAGTTTTGTTTCTTGTGTTGCATACAGTGAAAAAAAGTTTAAAAATAAGATTTAGACATTACCAAGCCAATATATTTATGATGACATTTTTGCCCAAGCTTTTACTATTTTATGTGATTTAAAATTAAAGAGTTATGACATATATTATGTTGTTTAATTTTTGTTAGGGTGGTTATCTTTGCGACATCTTTATGAGAATAGAAGATCGTGTTCAAAGGACCAGGATTAATCTGAAAGCCCTGCGTATATTTTTTATTCATCATGAAGTTTGCTTTAGATCTTCTCATGGTTATGGAAGGAATAAAGATCAACAGTTTATTATTAATTTTTTTATTTTGTTGCTTCAGAAAAACTTTTTTTTATTGCTATTTTTTTTTTTGAAGTATTCGTTGGATTGTTTAAAATTTTATGATAATTCCATAAGCTTTTTTATTTTATAATTAAACTATGATTGAATTTTGATTTGTTTCGAATGATATTGAAATATTATGATATTTTAATTACAGGTCAATTTTATACAGGGTTTATGACAACTGTTACGAATTATTATGTGAGTGACAACCACTAAAGTCGTCACTGTTGAGTTTTTTAGTGACTGTTACAAAATGTATCACAAAAGTACTTTGAAATTTTATAGTGACAATAAAAAAATATTGTCATTGAACTAGTCTTTAGTGACGATTATAAAGTTAGCCATTAAAAGTAAGCAAAAATTGTTAGTGACAATCAAAACATTGTCACTACCACCGATAATTTAGTGGCAATAAAATTTTATCATAATTAGGGACGAAAGTTTGAAATTGTCACTAAACATATTAGTGACAACAAAATATTCCGTCACTAATGATTGATGGATACTAATTAGTGTTAATATGTTTTGACACTAAATTTTTTTTTTTTGGGCTGAAAATAGTTTTTAAGTGACGGAAATATACTTTTTAGTGATGAAAGTTTAAAATATTTGTGGCGACAAATTTTGTCGCTATTAAGAGTGATTTAGTGATGATACAGAATCGTCACTAAAGATCTAGATCATTTGTGACAATTTATGTAGCTTGTCACTATTAACTTTTAGTGACACATCTATAGTGACAACCTAGTGGCAATTTTTTTTTTCACCGCTAACTACTTTTGTGACAAATTTAAGAGTTTTAGTGACGACTTTTCTTGCCACTAAAGTTGCTATTTTTTGTAGCGCGCAAATTTGACAAAATAGTACTAGAATTCATCACCTCAGCCCTCAACTGATCAATCAACAAATCCCCAAAACCATCCAACTGCCATTGAGAATTCTCTATCAACTCATGCACACTTGGAAAATATTGAGGTAGAACCCCAATCCTACTCAACAAAACACCCTTCCCTGACCAATTATCACACCAAAAATCACAACTCATACATCGCCATTAACGGTGTAACCCGACAATCACTAACAGGGAGTGATAGTGAAATTTCAAAATTGGAAGGAAGTGTCATTGAATTTAGACTTAACTATAGGGGATCTGGATGAAATTTTCTCATATATCTATACAAATCTATATAATAAAACACATAGGAAGTTGAATTTTATCCCCTATACATCCGCCCCCCCCAAACCATCACATCATTCATTTCTATCACATGCTCAATCATTTAACATTTGATTAATTTATAATTTAACATAATTTTTGTTTCAGATATTATCCATACACGATAGTATAAATTTGTTAAAAAAATCGCATTACATTTTTTAAGAAAATTGTCTATATCTTTAAGAAAATAATGGGTAAAAATAAATTTTAAATGATTTAATCAAATAAATGAAGGAAATAAAAATTATTATTTAATATAGTAATATCAATTTTTTAGGACTCAAACTTTTTTTCTATCGTGCCTTTAGGCATGAGTTATGACTAGTTTTTTATATAGCATAATTGTCCATACCCTAATTTGTGTCAATGAGATTCGACGGTTTTTATTTTGAATCTTTTTTTAAAGATTATGGTTTCCTAAATTTATGGATTAGAATCCCGTTTGAATTTTGATTTATATTCTCAATATCTTTTCCATCAAATGTATCTTTTTTCTACCATAAGTCATTAAGGGTCTGTTTGGTTAGGAAGAAAAAAATGATGGAAAGTGTTATAGAAAGTAAAGTGACAGAAAAGAATATGATAGAAAATATATTTTCATGCATGCATATGGTTAGAATGAAAAATTTACGGGAAAGTTTTAAAACAATTTTATTCTATTGTTTAAAAGAAAGTAAAGTTAAAAGAATTTTTTTATAATTGTCTAAATTATCCTTAATTATATTAAATTGGTATAAAAAAGAAAAAAAAATATGTAATTACAATTGAAAGTTAAAATTTTTTTAAAAAGTGGCTCGAAACCTAATTCTAAGACAATCACCAACAAAAATTTTTTGGGCCAAATTATGTGATTAATTAAATTCATACCAAAATTTTTTAAAATTAATAACTAATAAAATATTTTAAGAAAAATAAGGCTAAAATGGGAAGTTAGTTATGGATCACAACTTTCTTACATTTTCTTGTGTTTTTTACAAGAAAAAAAAGTTGTTTATTTGTGAGAAAGTTTAAGGATGAAAAAAAAATATTTTTTATATCATTTTCTTTTTCATGCTAACCAAACACATGACAATTTCAAATAGTTTATCTTTCTTGCATTTTCTATCATTCTCTCGCTAAACAAACGGACCCTAACGTTTTTCTTCTTCTCCAATAAGTATCTAGATTATTTCCCTCCGCTGGCGATTATTGGTGGTCGTTCTTGCTGGTAAGCATAAACCCTTCATTTTTTTTTTTTCTTAAACTTCTTTCATAAAATTTTGCAATTTTTTTGATTAGAATCCTATTTTTGACATTAATCAAAAAACAATTTCATTGATAAATTCCATCTACACCAAAATTCATCTTCTTCGATTTTCTCAAAATCAACAACCAAAATTCATATTCTTCAAAAACCAATTATCGAAAAATCTAGGTAGAGGTGTGAATAATGGTGTGAATGGTGCTCTAACCGGCATAATGTACCACTTGAATAGGACTCGTTATTCTTGTAATTTTATGTTTTGTCATTTTTGGCAATAAAATTGGATGCGCGCCTTTTTTTCTTTCATTATTTTAAATAAGATACGTTTATCCTAAATATTTTAAATGAAAAGACAAATATATCTCTTTTTTTATTCTAAAAAAATAAAGTGGAGTGTGAGCTTGACTTTCCACATGTAGAAAGTCAAATTGGACTTTTTATTTTAGTGAGTATCAATAAAGGGTTCATTGGAGAAAGAAAAATTAAGAGTTGATTATCTATAATAGAGAATTGAGTAGGAATAGAAAGTCTATTGGAGATTGTCTTAGGCAACTGGGGCATTGTTTTGAAGTGTAGTGTATTTTTTTTTTCTCACTAGTGAACTTCTTTTCAAAACAATTTCCTTGACAGATAATTTTAATTAAGTGTAACAACAAAGACCCATTTTTATTACACTATTATAATTTTGTGAAACGTAAAAGAGTTGGGCCCTAGTAAGTGGCGGCCTTAGGCGATTGCCTAATCGGCCTTTAGGTTGGGCCGGCTAGGCCTCTCTCTTTGGTTTCTTGTCTTTTATTTCTGACTATTGCTTTAGGATTTCGTCCTCTTCCCTCTATTGAGGCTTCACCTACAATCCGGGTATGTGAATTGGTTATTTGTATTTCCATGGTTATTGATTCATTTTTTTTTTTTTTTTGAAATGAGTCAATAACAATGGAAATACAAATAACCGATTCAAGGTTTTGCAGGGTATAAGAAAAATAAGTCAAAAGCTATGAAAAACGGATACATATATGAGATATGGGTACAATACGATAGGGATACGATGAGACGACAAAGTCTAAAAAAGTAGGACACAGATACGGCTATAATAAAATATATTTAATAATTTTATTATTTTCAACCGGCTTAATACCTATATATTTTGATAGTTCTTTAATATACAATAAGGAAAATTAGTAGTTTTTTTTAGTTTCAAAAAAATATATATCGTATTGTTGTAGTATATTCACAAAGTGAAGTGAATAATTAAAGGAATCAAAAATAATATTTACCTAGTATTTAGAAGTAATTTTTGCTAAGATAATAATGTAATAACTTTATTTT